GAGGTTTGCACTCCAAATCTCACGATACATGGCCCCATTCATTCTGTTCTGTACATGGATCAGTCGTCCTGGTCCTTTTGCGGAGAAACAGCCCCAAAGCATGATGTTGCCACCCCCATGCTTCACAGTACGTATGGTGTTATTTGGATGCAACTCAGCATTTTCTCTCCTCCAAACACGACGAGTTGTGTTTTTATACCAAACAGTTCTATTTTGGTTTCATCTGACCATATGACATTCTCCCAATCCTCTTCTGGATCATCCAAATGCTCTCTACCAAACTTCAGACGGGCCCGGACATGTACTGGCTTAAGCAGGGGGACACATCTGGCACTGCAGGATCTGAGTCCCTGGCGGCGTAGTGTGTTCCTGATAGTAGCCTTTGTTACGTTGGTCCCAGCTCTCTGCAGGTCATTCACTAGGTCCCCCCGTGTGGTCCTGGGATTTTTGCTCACCGTTCTTGTGATCATTTTGACCCCACGGGATGAGATCTTGCGTGGAGCCCCAGATCGAGGGAGATTATCAGTGGTCTTGTATGTCTTCCATTTTCTAATTATTGCTCCCACAGTTGATTTGTTCACACCAAGCTGCTTGTCTATTGCAGATTCAGTCTTCCCAGCCTGGTGCGGGTCTACAATTTTGTTTCTGGTGTCCTTCAACAGCTCTTTGGTCTTCACCATAGTGGAGTTTGGAGTGTGACTGTTTGAGGTTGTGGACAGGTGTCTTTTATACTGATAACAAGTTCAAACAGGTGCCATTGATACAGGTAATGAGTGCAGCACAGAGGAGCCTCCTAAAGAAGAAGGTACAGGTCTGTGAGAGCCAGAAATCTTGCTTGTTTGTAGGTGACCAAATACTTATTTCCCACCATAATTTGCAAATAAATTCTTTCCAAATCAGCCAATGTGATTGTCTGGATTTGTTTTCTCATTTTGTCTCTCATAGTTGAGGTCTACCTATGATGCCAATTACAGGCCTCTCTCATCTTTTTAAGTGGGAGAACTTGCACAATTGGTGGCTGACCAAATACTTTTTTGCCCCACTGTAATATGTCAGGACAAAATTTTTAAAAAAAAATCAGTACATACGTGCAATACATGCAATTTTCCTTTCAAAAATCTTGCAAATACAGCCAAATATCTGTTTATCTGCCAGAAATGCACACAGAGTGGTGTCAGCCCTCCCAGAGTCTTTTTGCTAGTCTATTCAAACACTCCCACCCTCAGATCTCTACAACACAAAGGCTAATCAGTCTGTAGTCAAAGAGTAAAACTAGGAAGTCTCATTGGTGTTATACATGAATTATTCAGTAAAGCGCACAATTTAGCCCCTTTTTGCCACCACCAGCCCTGATAAAGAGAGGCCTATGAGCATGGAGGAGCAGCAAAGGGGAATACTATAGAGTGTAACTTGACTGACAGTCTTCTGTGACTGCTAACATCACATCCAAGATGGTTATACCCAGCAGCAGTCTCAGGATTTCTGCATGTCTATGCAAGGGAGGCTTTTATAGGTAAATAACATACATAAAATATGTTAAATGCACATATAATCTAAGGGGATGATTTTTATTGAAATGAATGGTCTCTTTAAATTTTATATCGAGTTTCATTAGAGTCCTTAATTTTTTTTTTAAAGTTTCTCCATGCAACTACTTCCATTTTTCCCTGACTCATACCCTTAGAATATTCATATGAAATTGTCGGTATGGATAAAAGATAAGCTGCTCTTCCAGCAATGGTCAGTGGCAAAGGTTAGTACCATCTTGATTATCCTTTTTGAGTAAAGCCAAATGAATATTTAAAACAATTCACTAAGGGTATGGCTTTAGAGATCTCATACTTTTTCTATAAATATTCATGGAAAAGTACATGAAAGACTAAAAAAAAAAAAAAAGACCTGCATCGAAATGATAAAAAGACAACCATGGGGGATTAAAGGTAAAACTGTATGCTGACCTACCATGCATTAGTATCACACTCATAATTAAGTTCAATACACTTTTATTTCTGTGAAAAGACGAGACAGCTAGAGGATAGTATGGGGAATGGGATGGCATGCAGGTCCTGAATTTCTAATACTAAGCAGGACAGTTCTTATCATTTACGATTAGGTCTATTTTTGTACTGTGTTGCCTGTCTTTTGACCTTATTATCACTGAGTAATTTATATCCAATATTTTCTCTTTTTAAGAAATGGTGTATTTATAAAAGATAGATGGACAGTTAGAAAAAAATATAAGTAAATGGCTATACCTTAACCAGGTACTGAACTATATTAGATGGGTATATCAGTTAATAAATACAGTAGATGGATAGATGAATAGATAAATTATTTTATTTTTGTTATAATACCGGTGCTTATATAAAACCATAAATGTAAGCAGCACTTTACACATACACTCTCCGGCCACTTTATTAGATACACCTGTTCAATTGCTTGGTAACACAAATTTCTAATAAGCCAATCACATGGCAGCAACTCAATGTATTTAGGCATGTAGATGCGGTGAAGACAACTGAGTATCAGAATGGGGAAGAAAGGGAATTTAAGTGACTTTGAATGTAGCATGGTTGTTGGTGGCAGATGGACTGATCTGAGTATTTCAAAAACTGCTGATCTACTGGGATTTTCATGCACAGCCATCTTCACGGTTTACAGAGAATGGTCCGAAAAAGAGAAAATATCCAGTGAGCAGAAGTTGTGTGGACAAAAATTCCTTGTTGAAGTCAGAGGTCAGAGGAGAATGGGGCAGACTGGTTTGAGATGATGGAAAGGCAATTATTTTAGTAAATGTAAACTGCTAAATACCTTTTCTCATCATCAGTTAGAGCCTTCTTGTGACTTCTATCAGTATCCAGCAGAGCATTGTAAAGCAGTGGTGCTTGTAAAGTCCCTGTGGAGTTTCTCCAGTATTGAGAGTAGTGTTTCTGGCAGATGAAGGTAATGTCCATGGTGTTGCCTGCTTTAGGCAAAAATGATTTTCATGTTAAGGATGGAGCTAATGAATATTAAGGTTTTCTATCATGTGTTGATATTCACACACAGGAAGCTTTCAGATTTGCTTATCAGCCAGCCGTGGGCATATGATCTACTCTGAGAAGCTCACTTTAGGCATTTCGCCATGAAGTGTATACAGGTGTGGAGGTGGGTGCCATAAAGTGGATACAGGTGTAGACTTGTGGAGTGTCAATGATCATGAGAACAGTGAGGAATCATCCCAGAACTACACGTGAGGATCTTGTCAATGATCTCCAGGCAGCTGGGACCAGGGGCGGACTGACCATTTGGAAACTCGGGCACTGTCCAAGGGCCCGGGGTCAGTAGGGAGCCCCATGAGATGCCCCTGGTACCTTTTTCATAGGCTTTTTTGAGTTTGGGCAAGGACACAGGGGCCCCATGATCCCCTATTGCCCGGGGGCCCCATGAGTTGTCAGTCCGCCCCTGGCTGGGACCACAGTCACCAAGAAAACAATTGGTAACACACTACGCCGACAAGGCTTGAAATCCTGCAGTGCCCGCAAGGTCCCTCTGCTCAAGAAAGCACATGTCCAGGCCCGTCATGCCACTAAACATCTGAATGATGCAGAGGAGGACTGGTTGAAAATGTTGTGGTCAGATGAGAGCAAAATTGAGCTCTTTGGCATCAAATCAACTTGCCATGTTTGGAGGAGGAGGAATGCTGCCTATGACCCCAAGAACACCATCCCAACTGTCAAACATGGTGGTGGAAACATTCTGTTTGGGGGGAAACCGGAGCATCTAGAGGAAACCCACGCAAGCACAGGGAGAACATGCAAACTCCATGCAAGAGGCGCCATGGTCAGGAATTGAACCCATGACCCATTTACTGCAAGGCAGATGTGCTATCCACTAAGCCACTGGGACACCCAGTGACAGATGAGCTATACAGGTAATGTGGTAATGAACTGATTAGGGACCATCAGCAACTCACTCATTTAGAATTTTGTAGCAGAAAAGGTATTTCACATATTGGGCACATTATTGCTATTTTTGGATACTTCAAGACTTGCATGTAATAGGTTCCTTGGATGCTCATGGCTGAATTATAAGTAAAATTAAGATTACTGATTACTGATTCTTTTCACCATACCAAAACCACACAACACTCCAGTATTGATGCAAATTCCATCTTTTTACATAAGTGAAAGTAGACCTTCGTGAAGAATTCCATGAATATTTTTGGGACATGGTTGTGGTGTGGATCCCTACAGTGTTTTCCGGAGGCAAAATATATACAGTTATCTGGTGTCTTTGTAGAAAAATGTAAAATATATAAATAAAGAGAGCATTCTAAGTATTATTTCTGTGTTCAATTTAATAAATGATTCCTATAATTAGTAATAGCCTGTAAAGGCAAAAATGTCTTTCAATTGTAATAAAAAAGAGTTTTATACTTACTTGCTTTGTGTAATGATATTGCACAGAGCAACCTCTTACCACTTCTTCTGGGATCCCCTTCTGGCGCTCTCAGCTCTGCCTTTTCTGAGTCTGCCACTAATGCAAGTGGCTTGCTATGGGGGCACACATGCGAGAGTGTTTCCGAGCCTGCCAGTGTGTAGACACACACAGCAAAGCTCTGCCCCACCCTGCACTCCCTCCTCACTGTATTTGATTGACAGTAGATGGAACCAATGGTTCCCACTGCTCTCAGCAAAACCTGTGAGACCAACAAAAGAGGAACGAAGACTTGCAGCTGGCCAATGAACTGGATTGATAGAGGTCTCAGGTTAGTGTTGGGAGGTGGGGGGGGGTGGGGAGGGGACAGCCAGTGGAAGGTTTTTTACATTAATGCAGAAAATGCATTAGGGTAAAAAAGAAACATTGGTGTTTAGAACCACTTTAAAGGAATTAAGAGATTACTTGTATTCAACCCTGAATCTACCGTATGTTTCGCTCCATAAGATGCTCCTGATCAAAAGACGCACCTAGGTTTTAGAGGAAAAAAACAAGAAAAAACAATATTTTGAACCAATGGACTGCAGACATATACAGGAGATGACTAGAGACTGCAGACACAGTACAGGAGATGACCAGAGACTGCAGACACAGTAGAGGAGATGACCAGAGACTGCGGACATAGTACAAGAGATGACTAGAGACTGCGGACACAGTACAAGAGATGACCTAGAGACTGTGCAGACACAGTGCAGGAGATGACCAGAGATTGAGGACACAGTACAGGGATGACCAGAGACTGCGGACACAGTAACAGGAGATGACCAGAGACTGCAGACACAGTACAGGAGATGACCAGAGACTGCAGACGTAGTAAGAGGAGACTAGAGACTGTGGACACAGTATAGGAGATGACCAGAGACTGCAGACACAGTACAGGGGATGACCAGAGACCAGAGACTGCGGACATACTACAGGAGATGGCCAGAGACTGCAGACTTTTGGGGAACGGTAGGGGGCGGGTACCCCAAATTTGACAGGTATCCACTCCCACTTCCGCTGTGATGGCCCTGTTACACCCGGGTGCCCACACTAAAGATGATGAGGTGATGAGGACACCGCTGGACCGAGGAACAAGTTCTGCTGCACAGAACAGCCGAGCGGCCAGCATGGTATTCTAACACGGCAGTGATGGGGGAATACCAGGCCGGCCGTTCCATATTCACTCCATAAGACGCGCAGACATTTCCCCCATTTTTTTGGGGGGGGGGAAAGTGCATCTTATGGAGCGAAAAATACGGTATATTATGCTGTATATAATAAAGGATACTATGCAAGGATTGCACAAAAAAAATGGAAACACATCATGATTTGCAGGTGTAAAAAGGGACGACATGTTTTGTGTTGAAAGGGAAGTGATGTACCATTCTTTTGCTTTCGCTGTGTGATGAGACACCTAGCTAACAGGTGTGGAACCTCACTTTCGTCATTCACTGCATGCAATTCCAGTAATACAGAGTTATATCAGAGCTTCTTGAGCTTCAAAGAGGGCAAATTGTTGGTGCCCACTTAGCTGGTGCCCCTGTGACTGAAATTGCCAATTTATTTGCCGTGCTACGAGGTACAGTATCAAACGTAATGATAATTAATGGGGAAACGTCTAACAAGCATAAGCGCAGTCGGCATTGTCAATTGACCGAAAGATACAAAAGGACATTGCACAGGATTATGACCCGGAATAAGAAAATAACTGCTGAGTGACTGCAGAGCTTAATCTCTGTCCTGTGAAGACTGAGTCCTGTGAAGACTGAGACTGAGCTCTCCAGTCACTTTTGCAGCAGCAGAAAATCATGTAGTGTTTCCATTTTTTGTCTAACCCCTGTACATAATACATAGGGAAGATAGGGATTCAGCATAGGTTCATGAAAGATGGGCTGAGCCTAAATAAAATTATCCATTTTTTGAGGAACTAATTTAATATTTTAGGGTCCATGCACACTGGAACTCTCCTAAAGCAGCTGAAAACCATTTTTGTAAATGCATTTAGGCACATTTAGGTGCATCAAGCACTTGGGCATTTCTTGATTTCATTGACCAGAATATTAATTTATTCTGGCCATTAAAATGAAAAAACGCCCAAGCACTAAACTAGTGTTAACATGTGTTAACGTTCAGTTTTGCCTTGTTTGGTGTTTTTTGGCGTTTTGTATGCCAAAAGGTTCCACTCCTGAATGCAAAAGGAAAAGAGTTTTTTGCTGCCTCTAAAACTCCCCGGCTTCTAAGCTCCTGCATGTACACATAGGCTAACAAGGAGAAGCATTTAGAGACTGGAAAAAAAATGCAAAATGCCTCTAACAGTGGCTTTTGTTATGCCCAGTGTGCATGAACCCTTATTGTTGAAGATGTAACTAATGTGATATTTGGGGATTCTTCAAAAACATTGGGAATCTTTCTCACAACAGTGTGGTACAGAAGCTGAGGATAAAGAGAACAGGTAGAATGTTCTGAATGCACATAAAGAATGGATCAAAGGTCAGAAAACAAAGGTTAGTCGTAAATTGAAAACACTTAAAATGGACTACAGTTAACAGAGGGTACCACAAGGATCAATACAAGGTCAAATTCCTTTAAATCTTTTTATTACTGACCTGGAGAAAGAAAATTAAGGTAAATGTGTCCTTTTGATGATAAAACAAAATAGTGTGGAATAATTTAAAGTCAGGATGGCAGTGATATATTACATAAGGATCTTGACAAAAGGCCAACGTGAATAGATCACATTAAACAGTGAAAAATGAATGGTTATGCTTTAAGACCATGGGAAAACCATTTTCTGATAAACCATTAATAGAAAACAGCTGGTGAAGACAGAGATCGAGAAGAGATTGCATCATATTATTATTATTATTCAGGATTTATATAACATCAACAGTTTTTGCAGTGCTTTACAAAATAAAGGGAGATGATACAGTTACAATACGACTCATGACAAGAGGGTTTGGAGGGCCCAGCTCATGAGAGCTCTCAATCTAAAGTGACATAAAAAAAGTAATAATTGTGCAGAGATATACAGGTTAAAGCCCAACCCAGGGGCGGACTGACAAATCATGTGGCCCCCGGGCAATGGGGGATCATGGGGCCCCTGTGTTCTTGCCCAAACTCAAAAAAGCCTATGAAAAAGGTACCAGGCAAGGGCGGACTGACAGCTCATGGGGTCCCCGAGCAATAGGGGATCATGGGGCCTCTGTGTCCTTGCCCAAACTCAAAAAAGACTATGAAAAAGGTACCAGGGGCATCTCATGGGGCCCCCTACTGACCCCGGGCCCTTAGGCAGTGCCCGAGTTTCCAAGTGGTCAGTCCGCCCCTGGCCCAACCAAATCTGCAGTTTGAATCAGATAAATTCTTTCCAGGTGCATGAAAACAAAATATATGTAAGCCTTATACAATTAATTTTCAATAGAAAGCTGTCATAGAGTAGGCAAGTCTTCACTGTGTTGTAGAGAAGGACCCTAGCTCTCTGTGTGAAAGCAGTGGTCTCTTTGTAAAGGTCCAACATGCTCCCTGCTGAGTCAGCCTGCCGAGTCAGAGCTAGAATTCTCCAGTCAGTAAAAATCATAAATATTTTACTCAACAGGAGATCCTAGGGTGACAATACTCATGCTCTGTATTGTGTCTATAGAGGAGCAATATTGTCACCGTAAGACTGGAAGTGTGTTAGGACTACAGAACACTTTCATCTCTCCTCATAACATCAGGGGATGTGCTCTGTAGTTTACAGAGGTTGACTTAGTTAGGCTCCTTTCACCCGAGAGATCTAATCAGATCCTCCTGTCCAGTTTTCAGGCAGACCTGTTTGGACCCGGATTCTCCTCTATGGGCAGTTGGATGTAAATGGACCAGTTGCCCATTTACACCTGGCTACCTCAGATCTGATCTGGCAAAAACAAACAAAAGAGGATCTGTTCCCCTCTATCTGGCTGGAATGGAGGTCAGTCGGATGTAAATGGATAGCCAGTCCATTTACATCCAACTGCCCATAGAGCAGAGCAGGCTCTGTCCCTATCCACTCTTCATAAGGGGAGCAGACATGGACCTGTCATCTGGACTCTCCTTTCAACTCAGCAGGGGATCAAAGGACATATCCCCTGCTGAGCAAAATCAGATCCAGGGAGTCCTTTTTAGGGTCAAATAACTGCTGTGCACCTCTAAATAAATTGTTTATAGAGTTTAACCAGATTACTAGTTTAACTTTAGATAAAAGAGTAAACTGTTCTAAAGATTAACCTGAAGATAGGTTTTTAGAAGCGGCCTTCTTGTACTTGATTTTCATTTGAAACAAATGTTCAATCACATGCCTAGCCCTGTATGTAAATGCTAGACCATAAGAAAGTGAACCATGAACCTTGCACTAAATATTGGACATATTTGTTGGTCACGACTCACTAGTGATGAGCCAAACACACCTGGATTCAGTGGGAGCAGGGTTCGGCAAACATGACTAAAGTTCTGATGCTGAATTCAAACCCCATTGAACTCAATGTTAAAAAACAACAGTGGTCATTTTATAGGCTAATAAGCAAAGGAGATTTGATACAAATGGCATGGAAGGCTGGGCACTGCCATGTACCAACGCAAAAATAAATAAATAAATAGGCAGTTGACTTTAGTAATGCTTAAAGTATAACTAAAGGCAAAACATTTTTTTCGTTTTGGATAGAATGGAGATGGATTATAACACCTCTTTTCATATCTGTCTGTGTCCCTTTCAGAGAGAATCACCCTCTCTATTTGTCCTGTTTATCATTATCATTGAAAGTGAAAATAAAGGAAAATTCAAAATTTTGGGTTCTCTCCAGAAAAATAATAAAGGGAAAATGTTGCAATGGGGACACAAGTTCTAGTGATCTGGGGGACCCCAAGGGATTCCCTTAATTTGTGGCGATTTCCTCTCACTTCCTGCTTTGGCTATAGGACAGGACATGAAAGAAAAGCTGGCCATAGACAGATAAAATCTTGGCTGGTTCACCAGGGACCAGCTGAAATTCAATCCATCTATGACTGTGTTGATGGGGGAATCTAGACGTTTTCTTTCTTTCCACCCATGGCGGAAGGAAAGAAAATTTCATAATACATTGCATAATCTATGGGCTGCTTAAATCTGCCCAATGGGGCACAGATGGTGAAAAAAAAAAAAACAGGGGTTATGGCCCTCCCATATTTTATCCAAAATGAAAAACGTTTTGCCTATAATTCTACAAACAATCAAAATGCAAAATTCCATTAAATAATGTGCCTGGGGGATGCCCTGACTCTGCCTGTAAAGTTGGCACATCTGTGAAATGTATCCAGCCTACTCCTACTCTGAAATTACAAAGAAAAAGCCCCCCCACCCCACAGACCTGCACAAACACTGGGCCAGGATTGAGGGGAAGAGGCTTTTGTCCTCATCAACATGGGGACAAGGTGTTTTGCCAGGGAGATACCCCTCATGTAGAGGGCATGTGTAAGGTTCAGGAGGGGGGTACATGCTTGAATAAGGGTCTGTTATAGACCCCACGCAGTGCATTATTGTGTGTTGGTGTGTGCTGCATTACATGTGCATCCGCGCTGTGTTGCCTTATACTGAATGGCACTACTGCAACACACCACAATGTAAAAATGTGTTTTGACCTTTAAGGGGAACTTTCCCTTTTGTTTGCATCCGCCCCCCTCCCTTGCCACATTTGGCACTTTTTGAGGGGGAAGGTACCAGATTGCCATGGTGACATTCAGACCGTCCTAGCTTTCTGGGACACATCACAGGTCCCAGAAGACTGCGGGACCATTCACAAAGCACAGCTTAGCTTGAGCATGAGCAGTAGGAACCTGGCTATGAAGCCGGAAGGCTTCACTGCTGGTTTCCCTTGCTTAAGATTCTGGTGCCTGCATCCGAAGCCAATTGAAAATTTGTCTCAGGTGAGAACATCACTGGACCTCTGGACAGGTAAGTGTCCTTATATTTAAAGTCAGCAGCTACAGTATTTGAGCTGCTGACTTTTAATTCATTTTTTGGGAGGAGACTGGAGGTCCTCATTAAGGCTGGCCTTGGACCTTTTGATTTTTGCAGAGATCAAAAATATATAAATATTGTTTACAAAATTTGCACCCAAAATTTTGCAGTGACAAAGTACGAGTATGGAGTTGGTCCAACAAGCAATGAAGGGGTCCAAAACTGCTGCCTATGCCTGGCACTGCTTATAGAAGTAGAAATTGTACCATTATAAACAAAATAAATGTAATTCAAATAGATTAATTGCATGTATGAAAAGATTACATTAAAAGCAGAGATAATATTGTAACAATAAGCAGTGCTTTCTGCCTCTTTATTTTCTGACCTTCAATGCTTGACTCTCTGAAAAAAGCACACACCATTTTTGCAACCTGCACATTGTAAAACTAAAATGTTTTTTTTATCCAGGTATGATCTTAACTAATTTTTCATCATTTAGAACATCTAGTTAAAAACTTTATAACATTCTATATACAAAAGGTGCCACGGAGAACAATTGCTTGATCTCTTCAGAGAGCCGTGGAAAGATAATTGCAGCCACTTCAAACTGATTGCAACTACAAGTAATGGTGTGAGTGTCTTCAGATCATTTCATTACATGGAAATGAGAGCTTCATTCCTCCAGTGAAGGAATCATAGAACCATATTTTTCAGGGCAATTTCTAAAGAAGGTGTTCTTTGTATTCTCTCGATCCTATTGGAGGCAATTAGGTTTACCAATACAATCGAGATCAGCAAAGGCAGAGGTGTAATTAAAATTCAGAGGGTTCTGATTTAAAATGAAAATTAAGTTTCTTCATATAGAGCAATCTTTATTCACCCTGAATGGTAACTTTAAATGAGATATCATGGCAGAAACATTCTTAGCTCTTTTTCGTAAAAACCAAATTGCCTGGCTGTCATGATGGTCCTCCTATTTCAATAATTTGAGTCTATAACCCCTGAACAAGTATGAATATCAGATGTTCTGACTCTGATTTTCATTATGCTCTTACTTACCTGCTCAGTGCAGTGGTTTTGCACAGTGCAGCCTGGATCCTCTTCTTCACGGGTCCCCTGCTGGCGCTCCTGGCTCCTCCATTCTGTCTGGTGCCCCCATAGCAAGCATCTTGTTATGAGGGCACCAGAGCAGGTGTGTTCCCAAGCCGCTGCTCATTGTGACCATTCACACACACGGAGCTGTGGTTTGGCCTTAACCCGCCCCCTCTCTCTCCACATTGGCTGACTGGCTGTTGTTGACAGACTGCTGTCTCAGCCAATGAGGAGGCAGAGACCTGGGATAGCTAAGGCTGTTGTGCACATCGATGGATTGCGATGGGGCTCAGGTAAGTATTTGGGGTCTAGGGGCACTGCTGTGCACAGGTTTTTTACATTCATGCATATAATAGAATAGAATGTATTAAGGTAATAATCCTGGAGCCTTTACAACTGCTTACAAGTTGAACTCCAGGCAAACAGCTAAATACACACGTAATTAGGCACGTGCATTTCATTTAGTTCCGAATTTAAATTTGGACTAATTTTCTGTTATTCGGAGATTCAGGTGCATCCGAATTCTGAATTACAGTAGTGATGAGTTTAAATGAATCTGAAATAACGAAACAAAATTCAACCGAAATTCGAATCGATTCGAAAACACATCTCAAATCAAATTCTAATTCGAAAACCAATTCAAATTTTTAAACAAGAATAGAATAAAATAGAACAGAAAATAAAGAAATAGAATAGAATATAAAATAAAAAATAATAGAATAGAATTGAAAAAGAAAAGAATAGGAGGAAAAAAAAAAGAACAGAATAGAAAATAAAATAGAACAGAATACAGTAGAAAATAAGAGAGTAAAACAGAACGAAATAGGATAGAATAGAAAATAAAGGAATAGAAAAGAATAGAATCCATTAGAATAGAATAAAAAGATAAGAATAGAAAATCAAAGACTAGAATAGAAAAAGAATAGAAAGATTTAAAATAGAAAATCAAAGAATAGAATAGAAAATAAAAGAATCAAAGAATAGAAAATCAAAGAATAGAATAGAAAATAATAGAATCAATTAGAATAGAAAATCAAAGAATAGAATAGAAAAGAATAGAATCCATTAGAATAGAATAAAAAAGATAAGAATAGAAAATCAAAGACTAGAATAGAAAAGAATAGAACGATTTAAAATAGAAAATCAAAGAATAGAATAGAAAATAAAAGAATCAAAGAATAGAAAATCAAAGAATAGAATAGAAAATAATTGAATCAATTAGAATAGAAAATCAAAGAATTGAATAGAAAATAATAGAATCAATTAGAATAGAAAAAATTAGAAAATAGTAAAACAGAACAAAATAGAACAGAAAATAAAGGAACAGAATAGAATCAATTAGACTAGAATAAAAAGGTTAGAATAGAAAATTAAAGAATATAAAAGATTAGAATAGAGAATCAAAGAATATAATAGAATAGTGTAGAAAAAAGAATAGAATAAAATAGAAAGAATATAACTGCCTTCTAAAATTAAAATTTTGAATAGAATGAATTTGAATTTGAACAGAATACATTAGAATAGAATAGAAAAGAATAGAATAGCTTAGAAAAGACTAAAATACTATACAAAAAAATTGTGAGCTGTGCTATGGTGATATGAGTATTGAACAACAAAGGCAATGTGAAAAATTTTGCTGAAATTTCCAATATAGTTTTGCAACTCTTCATATAGCCCTTATACCATCAAAAACACATATGGATTGTGGATTATTGATTGTAACGTTAGATTTATTGTCAAATCCATTGGAATTAATTTAAAATCTGCTAGAATTGTTTTTGAATCCATTAGAATTATTTTCTAATCCATTTGAAATTTTGAATTTGGTCAAATTCGAATAAATGAAACGAATTCCAAAAAACTAATTTAACTAAATCGCACGAAACAAAATTAGTCACCTAACGAATCAAAACGAGATGAAATGATTTTTTTTCATTTTGTACATGTCTACATGTAATGCATTTCTGGGAACTGTCTTATTTGTCAGAAAGGTTTGTATTTCTGCCCATCTGGTCCTGAGATTCACACAGTTCTACCACCCAGTACAGTCCTGCCTGGCAAGGGAGGGGACCTGATCTTTCTTTGCTGCAGTTGCACTTATACATCTTCTCTAATCCAGCATTAGAGATGAGCTCCAATTGGATCCAAAATCAGTGTGAACCCAGTTTGCCTGGGTCGCTGTATTGGGACCTCTGTGTGAGGTCCCAATCATGTGATCACTGACTGGCCAATCAGTGATCATATGAATAGTAGAAAATCTTCATCACCCCCCACAAGTAGTACAGTGTCACCATGGTGACACTGTACTGCTAGGGTGACAGTATGTTTAAAAAAAAATAATAATAAATAATAATATTAAAAAATAAAATAAAAATGTAAAATAAAAATTTGAAAAATTATAATTTTTGGTTATAAACTAATTTGGGCTATTTTTTTTTTACTAAAAAGATAACTGAATACATTTTGGCCAAGATGTATGAAGAAAGATTATTTATTTGCAAAATTTTATAAGAAAAGCACTTTTTTTCAAAATGTTTGGACTTTTTCATTTATATAGCAAAAAAAAAAAAAAAACCCCAGTGGTGAATAAATACCACCAAAATAAAGTTTTATCTGTCTCAAAAAATGCTAAAAAAATCATATGGGTACAGCATGGCATGAACACGCAATTCTCATTCAAAGTGTGATAGCACTGAAAGCTGAAAATTGGCCTGGGCAGGAAGGGGGTGAAAGTATCCGGACTCGAAGTGGTTAAGTACCTTATTCCCGTCGCACTGTTGTGCGGTCACATGATCTTTCCATGTTTTTTGGCATTTGTAGGGAAAGATCCTTGGGAGGGGCTTCTGTTATTACCTGATTGATGCTGTTCCATAACTAAAAAAAAAAGCAGTTCCAGAAGACCAATTCAAATTAAAGTATAATAATCAAAAAACTGTTTTACAGCTCCCTATAAATTGTTGCAGATCATCAAATGTGTATTTTTGAGCATTAGTATGGTGAAGACGGAGTCAAAGATGATTGACACTAGCTTTCATTTTGTTAACCGCTACAGGGTGGCACGGGTGTGCAAAACCACGTATATTTACGTGATTTTGCATTTCCGGGTAGGGGGCATGTGTGGGCCCTACCCGCGCCGCCATTCATGGCCGCAGATCACCGGGTCCTGGGCGGTGATTACTCGCCGGCTCCGGTCATTGCAGAGCATCTCCGACAGTTCTCCTCCCTGTCAGCTCCTGCACACTGCTTTGAATGGCTGTGCACAGCAGAACCATGCAAAGCAGTGTGCTTACAGTGAAGCACACAGACAGGCCAAAGTAAAATAGCACACAGTTAACCCTTTGATCGCCCCAGATGTTAACCCCTTCCTGCCCAGTGCCATTAGTACAGTGTCAGTGCTTTTTATTAGCACTGATCACTATATTGGTGTCACTGGGGGATGTCAGTGACACCAAGTCAGTTCCTTTCCCAGTGTCAGAATGCCTGCCGCTGTCCCGCTACAAATCGCTAATTACCACCATTACTTATAAAAAAATCCTAGTATATATACCGCCATTTGTAGGTACTATAACTTTAACGTAAACCAATTAATTTACACTTATTGGGATTTTATTTAGCAAAGACATGTAACAATACATTTTGGCCTAAATTTATGCCGAAATTTGTTTTTTTTTAATTTTTACTGGACAGGTTTAATAGCAAAAAGTAAAAAATATTGCTTTTTTCTCTAAATTGTCTGTCTTTTTTTTTTATAGCGCAAACAAAATAAAAAACGCACAGCTGATCAAATACCACTGAAAGAAAGCTCAATTTGTTAAATTAATGCAGCGCCGTAATGTAAAAAATGGCCTGGTCATGAAGGGGGGTAAGGATGGCATCTACATCCAGGACTCTTTTTTTTTACTTTACAGGTGTAAGCAATTACATTCGATATATTTAATACAAAGCTTTTTGTGAGTTTCTTAGTGAATGTAATCAATCAGCACATTATATCCTATCTCTGTAGTGTTTAGCAATAGGAGGACATGGAGGATGTCAGTGTATATGCCCACATGTGAACTTTTAGTCACATGGGCTGCACAGACAAGAAAAAGAGGAAATACGGAGGTTAGAAGGGAACTGAAACTGGAGCATGCTAAGTAGAGGACACCAACTGGTCTACACAATTGCAGGCTGCAGTGGGGACACAGAGAAGATGGGAGGGACAGCTGAAGCAGATCAACCAGTTAACTTTACAAAAAAATCACACAGAGAAAAATACCAGTGATTGCGCTGGTCAATAAAGTCCATCTGGACTCGCTAGTAATAGTAGTTCACTGGGAATCATATCACAATATGGCGTTGCAGCCTATGGTGGCATCACATCTAAAAACAGAGAAAGGAAGAGAGCACACATCTGCCCTCATATAATCCAGTTTATTGATAAAAACAATAAAATGATTACTCAATAGATATACTCACAGGGAAGGATGAAATTGAGGCATATGACAGGACTCCACATTCACTCCTGGGTGGCCGCTGCAAGAGCTCAAAAAAGGTGGGATTCCAGGTAGTCTCCTAGGAAGTCAGCATGGGCTCTTAATGCATACAGACCACCGCGGTGGAACTGCTGCAGCCATGACTTGCCTGGCCCACTAGGCATGAGCCAGGTCCAGCCAGAGCACCAGTGAATTCCTCCATCAATGCAGTGACAGAAGAGGGTGGGAGGACCTGGAGGAGGTTGCTATGATGACGTGTTTCAGAGGCGTGGCCTCCTTTATCAAGTCACACCCACAGAGGGGAAGTGCAAATTATATATCAGTAAAGGAAGATATTTTATCCCTCTTCTTATTAGATCTTAAAGGGGCCACTCCAGAATGTATAATAATAAAAACATTAAGAATATATGCAACAATTTCTGTTATTGGGTTGTAAGTAGAACCTAAACTAGACATTACTCTATGTCAACACTAAATGGAACTTAAGTTGGTATATTTAGGCATAACATGATCTAATTGGACAACAGTGATAGTGAACGTATATGGAGGAAAGGGGAATGAGAAAGGAAAGGTGAAGGGGGGGAGGTGGAGAAGGAATTATAGTGCTGTATGATATGCCCAACTGTAACGTATCTAACCCCATTCTACTGAGCAATATCCCATCATAGTGTGACATGATGTGAACCCAACTGGGTGGCATGATGAAAATGTTGGTGGGAGACTCCAGCTGATGAGTCCCACCCACAAGGCCATACTATAATAATATCACACAATGCTCCATGAGATAAGTGTGTTGATCTCTAGTTCTTCATTTAATCCATCAGGGGCTGTGTAAAGTAATGATCCAAAATGTCACCCGCATGCACAATTTGGCAAATCTCTCACCCTCAGGACAGGACATAGATATGGTTTCAATAACAAATAGCTCTAAACCTTCGGGTGCTACCCTCATGAGCTTGAGAAAAGTGACGTGGCACACTGTGCTTGTCTCGTCCTTTCTCTATAAGTCGTCGGTGCTCACCAAATCTGGTGCTCATGGTGCGCACTGTTCTACCTACGTCACAGGCGTGAACTGGCGGCTCTCCAGCTGTGGCCAAACTACAAGTCCCATGAGGCATTGCAAGATTCACAGTTACAAGATTGACTCCCAAAGGTAGAGGCATGATGGGACTTGTAGTTTTGCAACAGCTGGAGGGCCACCAGTTTGACACCCTTGATCTACGTAGTAAATCCCACAAGAACACCTAATCCCCTATACCTCAAACTGTGTACTACACACATGAAATGTTTAATATCAAAAACTTTCCCATTTTTTACAGTGAATGTTTTTTTTATTATGTGTCACAAAACTACATGCCTCACACCAGTGATCTCCAAACTGCAGCCAGGGGATCATATGTGGCCCTTTGCTTGCCTTTATCTGGCCCTTGGGGCACTATTCCACCAGCTGACTCCAATGACGGGGCACCATTCCCCCTCCTCACACCAAAAATGGGGCACTATTCTTCCAATTGATGCCAGCCAACAATGGGGCACTATTCCACCAGCCGACTCCAAGGATGGGGCAACATTTCCCCTGCTCACACCATCAATAGGGCACTATTCTTCCAATTGATGTCAGCCAACAATGGGGCACTATTCCTCCCAATCAAACTAATGATGGGGCACTCATGCCACAGCAGTTTCTACTCCCACTGTCCACAGCCCAGCCCCCCTAAAGCCTGAAGGACAGTAAACTGGCCCTTTGCTTAGAAAGTTTGGAGACCCCTGCCTTACACCTATTAAGTTTGCATTGAAAAGATCCTATCGTGTTAAAATACATAGGGACATTCTTTGTAATACAGGGTCCACCTTACACAAAATGTATGCTTTAGTGGTTTTGTGGATCTATTAATTGTGGCTTCTTGTGGATTTCACTGAAGGTATGACTTGCTTGTGTGTTTTTTATACCAATTGTGTTATAATTTTTAAGGATGAACTATAAAAGACACAGATAAATACATCATTAAAAGATGTCTAAACCCAAGAAAAAGATGTCTAAACCCAAGAATAGAAAATTGAATATATTGCAGCTTATCAGTCCTTAGATAAGTTGGCTGCATATGTTCTCTATTTTTCAGGCTTTTTTCCTTTATTTCCAACTGTTACTCTTGAAAGCTACATACTTCCTACCCTTGGGTGGCTACAGTCATTCTCCACTGCATTTATGAAGGCAATAATGCTTGTCATCCAGGGTGGACATGTCTGCCTTTGTGCTCCTTAATTACATAGGGGCTGATAGGATTGCTTGTTTACAGAAGAAAGAGGCAATTTGTGCTTTCTGATTTTCTCAAATAAAATGACAAGGACTGTATTTGCAGAAAATGTTCTTATAGCTCTATCTTCAGAAGCAAGTTCTCACAGTGGTTGTAAACACTTGCATATACCCAGCGAAGTGACTGGCCTCAGGTGAAACAATTCCTTCTACATAAGTTGTACCTGTTTCTCTGTAGCCATCTCTCCACCTGAGCCATTCAAAGTGTACACGTTACACAGTATTCTGTTTATGATAAGGCCAGTGGGTGGGAATTTGATGTCACACACTGCACAGTACAGCGAGGAGAGCTGATTGTAATCTGAGATCTGAGTAGAGTTAATGGACACACCCCCTCTACACAGTCTCATAGGGAAACTGCACAGATGAGGCTGTCAGTCACAGTGTGTGCTGGATGCCCCTTCCCCTGTTCCCCTGGAACCCTTGGTGTCAGCCTAGTCAGAAATAACTCAGATAGCAGAGGAATGAGAGAAGAAACAGAAATTACACTAGGTGCTTTTGATTGAAGGCAAGTATACACTACAGAAGGCTATGCATTGTTCATTTTTCATTTCAGAGGTTTACAGCGATTTGAAAGTACCAATAGGGAGACTCAGTAAGTGTTAAGGGATGAGGCCAAACTCAACTTTCATAGTTGAGTTTGAAAGTTGATTTTTGCATACAGATTGTATCTACTGAGCTCTTGTAACATAAGATGACTTTTGCATATGTTTGTTCTCATGGCATGCTAAGAGTGAATTAATGAAACAAAAGGCCAAACATCAGGCTACTGGGTCCTGCGATGATGTAGGGGTTGATGGATGGAACCACAGATAACGTCATCAGGGGCACCCTGATGACGTTACCTGTGATGAAACACATAGGGTGGAGCCACGCACACATGCTACTGCGCATGCGCAAATGGCTGGTGGCCATTTTGGAAACTGGAAAATTTTGCTTTTTTTTGCCAATCAATGCCTAA